TCCTCGGAATACATGTTGATCAATGAAAGAAAAGTTGGGTTCAGGGTCTTATTTATACTTAACACAGAAATAGGCGTTTGGACTGTTGAATCTCGCCTCGACAGATGGGGCAAAACTGAAAGGAAGGAGCACACAAGGCACAGCAGCATACGTGTCCGCAAGGTAGAAAAACGATTTATAATTCCTCGTCTAAACAAATGTGACATTTTCCTCGAGCCTGGACGTCTGGTTGTGGGTTCGGTAGAGGTTTAATCTCAGGTAAAGGTTTATATCCCTGCTGATCTAAACCTGCAATGAACACATTCATTACCCACCCTCGTCCCTTAAACAGATTGATGTAAGGACAATTGGGGTTCCAATAAGCATGTTCTACACAAGGATCGTCCTCGGGATCCCAATTACTAAAAATCATTCCACAATGAAAACAGGTAGCGCTATCTTTCACTCCCCTGTAGTAAAACCCGGCTCGAGCTAGGTCTGGTAATTTTCCTAAGAGAGGTTCTGGCCATCCCTGCTCAAAAGTAGCTTCTCTCTTTGAGAGCCGAGCATACTGGGGATAACGCATGGGTTGATCTAGCAATTTCTCAGTCATGACTGAACTTTTGATTTGTATTGCCCCCCTTTTTATAGGAAGAAGAAAAACAACAACGCATAAAACAACAATTCAATTTTTTAATTCAAAAAAAAAAAAGTAAAACATATCAACATATCAATAACCATAAGGTAAAGTGTTATAAGAGGGTAACAATTGTCTCTTATCATACACAATTCTATACTTTTTCTCTAATGGTTTGCTCACGACCTCATGATCACGAGTCCTTTGGATTTTGTCGGGATAAAGTACTGTCACTTCCTCTATTTCTTCTTTGAGCATTTTTTCTAAAGTCTCTGGGCACACGATCTGGGAGGTTAGATAGTTGAGAGTGATTCCTTTGACTTTATGAACCTCGGTTCCTTTGGCCGTCCGGTAAGCATAATTTTTAGGGCCTGCCGACAAGAATTTGATGATGTGATCCCCGTCTAATTCGTCGGTCCATTCTCCTAAACTATTACCCAAGGTAGGATTAAAGGTTCCTTCCCGATGATGGTAAATGATACTGTCCGTATCGAAATAAAGGACCCGATCTCCTAAAGGTTGTAAAGTCTCGTAGAGGTGTAATCGGGCATGTGCGGTGGTAAAACAAGCCAGGACCACGTTTCCAAAGGGACACTCTTCGACGAATTCCTGTTTGTCTTGATAATTCACTAGCATCTTGTCCTTATTGGAGTCCTCTTTATTGACTAAGAGTTGCATGCCCTTGATGTCGAGAGTCGAATCTTGTAAGAGTTGCTGTAATTCCTCTTCTTCGTCCAAGTATCTGGTTTTGGGTAATAACAAGCGTTGAGCAAATTTTCCCCACAGACAATTTAAAAAGAGTTTAGCAATGGTTCTTCTCACTGGATTCTTCTCGATACTGAGAATGTCCATCATGAATCCTTCTTTGTATAACACTTGTCGAATGTAATCTTGTTCTTGTTCTGAGGTCTCACAGTCGGGGGGAAATTCGGACGCTTCCTGTTTGATCTTGAGGAAGGTATCGATGTAAGATCTGAATAACTCTTGACTGCTTTCTTTAAAATGCCACACTTCGTAGATTCGATCTAAGGTATATCCCATGTTTAGGGCTTTATGTAATTCGGTCGTCACCCAAGTACCCGTGAGACTACGTTCCTGGTCGGTGTGTTGACATCGATCTTGAGAAGTAGAGTCCTGTCGTTCGGCACACGTGCGACATAAGGGAAATAATAACTTGCCTCCCGTCCGATAAGGTAATACGGGGTGATAGAGGTCTCGGGGAGGTAAGACCCGACAGTGAATGAGACCGAAATAATTTCTCACGTCCTGGAACTCGTCTGTGATGATCTCGGGATGCCCTACGGGAAATGGTCTGTGATTCAACACGTAAGGGTATAGGGAACAAACGTCCACGTATCTCATGTCCCCTTCCTCACAATATAATCGGGTGGCATTGGTCCGACCTCCGTACAGGGCTTCTCGAGGTTTCAAAGGATCGGGAATGTCCAGGTTTCCTACAAATTGCTGTAACCTCTCATCTTTTTGCACTTGCTGATCGAAATCGTGCTCCCAGATACCACGGACGGTATACCCCATTTCCTCCAAAGTCAAAGTCCTTCCGAGGGTTTCTTCATGTAATTGCTGGTAAGTATATTGGGTCCGATGAGGATGAGTTTCGGTCTGTAAACTGGGATAGCAGGTGGGGCATCCGTGCCAATAGCACCCGTAAAATTCGTAGACGGTGCGAGTCGCTTCCTGGTATCCGTCGACGATATAAATTTCTGATCTGGACTTCGCCCCCGTTTCTGGCATGTTGTATGTGACATCCAGTCTGTTGACTCATCCAGGTGAGCCACCGACAGGCTTTAGCCGAATATTGTCGTGCCGGTTGATACCCGAGGTTCGGAATGATGGCAATGGTGTCTTCAGTCATGAATTGTCGACGGTAGGCTAAATTAGCAGCACTGGCAAAAGTGATGGATTCCTGGAAAGGGTCCACATTGACCAAAGTCTTGAGGGTGGCTCTAAACTTTGCACAGCATCGGCGTAAAATGTCGACGTCCGAGACACAATACTCTACAAACTCTTTCTGGAAATCAAACACTTTCCCCCTCTGTTGTTCTTACCATTCAAAAAAAGCCCGTCGTCCACTGATAGACATTTCGTCCGGTTTGTAGAAAGCTGCCGGTGGATAAGGTCCTACGTAATTCTGGTTCTGTTCCGTATTAAAAATGTTGGGGAAATAACCTTTCTTCAATTCGTCGAATCCGAAAGCGGAGGGCATCTTAGCCAAAGGAAATGGTAAGAAACTATAGGAGTCGATGAATTTCAGTCCGCATATTTCCATGTACAAGATCTTACTGCCGTTCATGATGACGTTAGCTTTCAGGCAAGAGGAATGCACCAGGTGATTCAAAATGAACTGTCCGTCGTAGCCTTTGAAGTTATGGGCGATGACGATGGCCTCGTCGTGTACTAAAGTGGAATTCTTAGTACCTGTAGTGGGTTGTAATAACCAGTCCATGAACTTCTTTAAGGTGTCTGGTCCTTGAAATAGGTGCTGACGGGGTCCCATGTGTTGACAATGAGGACAGGGTTGGTCTATGGGTAAGTGACTACAATGTTGACAGACGCGGTGTGCCACACACAGATTAGGGATGTGAATGCCGGTTTCCTGAGTGCATTCGAAATCGAAATAGATGTAAAACTCTAAGGTGTCTTTCCCCTTCTTCTTCTTCTTGGGCTTCTGTTGTACGTAGCACCGATGATCGGCATCGACGATTTTCTTACAGATCTTACACTGTTTCTGTCCTCCGCACTTGTGATGAGGGAATAATTTCTTAGGTATCCAGGAATGACACTTCTCGCATTGTTCCATTAAATTGCAGACAGTAGTGGTGGTTTTCTTACTATGAGGTCTTAAATGATTTTCGTAGCAGGTCCTGTTCTTAAAAATTCCATGGCATTTAATCTTGATCCCTTCATCGGGACATTTAGGGTGTTGTCCTAAACAAAAGGGACAGCGATGAGGACACTTGGACCGATGGTCTGTGAAATTCCTGTACCCCAGGTCGCAATGATCACAGTAATAGGGGTTCCCCGTTACTCCCGGCATCGATAGGATGGCATCGTAATGATGGTTGTCTAGCAAAATGTTCAAATAAGTTCCATCTCCCCAATTTTTGTAAATAGGCTCTAAGGTGAGTTTAGTCGAAGTAGACTTGAACTGAAATATTTTCAGTCGATACTGAGGAGCTAACACCTGTTGTAATTTCGTCCACTCTGCATATCCACAAGCTTGAGTGATATCACACTCGGCCTGTTCCATGAGGGCTATGGCTTGGTTCTTCTGGTCTAAGGATTCCTTATCTCCCTTCCGCATACGGCGCCATTGTTTTTCCCATTCCGGGTCTGGATGTTCGGGTTTTTGACTGTGTAATCGAGTCACGACGATGGCTCTAGCTAAACAAAATTTATCCCAGGGATTGACGATCCGAACGATGGCTCTTTTATTGTTCTTAAAAGTCTCCTTATTCACTTGTAAATGCTTGGTTTTCTGGCCACCACTTCCCTCGGGATAATTGACATGTAACAGATCGAATTCCAGGGAGCCGTTGCCCAGTTTGAACTCCTTTTTGGATTGTTGAATGGCTTCTATTTTATCTAAAATGAGGCCTTCGTTTAAATGTTTACATTGCGTAAACTCGTACCAAATCTCTGAATCCAAAGATGGGTGACGTATGTTCAGGCGGAGGTAATCGTTAGGATTACACTGCATTTTAGATTTGAAAGTTTGTAACATGTCTCTGAATAATCGCCGAACGAATCCTGTGTTTTCCTCTTCTGGAAAATTCATTGAAATTGACGATATATCTATTATCATGCGCTTTAAATTTTGTAGAGCCCTTTTTGTTATGCAGTCTCATCTGATAATACTTGGAAATCGCCTTGGGTTTGGGTGGTGAATGAATAGGTAACTTTGACCCCTCATGCGCCCTAGTCCTTTGCTGTTGCTGTCTTTGTTTTTCTAGTTGAGCTCTTCTCTGTAATAGTCTGGCATTTCTTTTCCAAAGCTTTAATTCTTGCTCTTTTTTCTCATCAAGAATTTGATCTAATTCTCTCTCCCGTAGTTGTCGTTGTCGTTGTTGTTGTTTAAATTGAGTTCTTCTCTGTAATATTTCAGCATTTCTTTTTCTGGGCTCTAATTCTCGTTCTTTATTTTCATCAAGAATTTGATCTAATTCTCTCTCCCGTAGTTGTCGTTGTCGTTGTTGTTGTTGTTGTTGTTGTTGTTGTTCTTGTAGAGCTCTTCTCTGTAATCTTTCTGCATTTCTTTTCCTAAGCTCTAATTCTCGATCTTTATTTTCATAAAGAATTCGTTCTAATTCTCTTTCCTTTTTTTTCCATTCTAATAATCGCTGAGCATGTAACTGTTTTTCTCTAGTAGAATCCATGACCCTCCAGGCAGGGAGGTGGCTCTGACTGTAGAATGAGCTGAAAGTAGGAGAAAAGCAGTATTTATACAGTGGATGACGTCACAATGCATAGGTAAGCATATTTTTTGCACACGGCCCTAAACAAACTTGAATCGCTGCCAAGTGTTTACCTGTGTAGTCAGCATAAAAAAACGTAGGTAAAACGTATTTTTTGCACACGGCCCTTTACAGGTGATGCAACAGGTATAAAAGCCCAGGTATTTTTTGCACACGGCCCACAGCAGGTATATAAACCAGGGCTGAACATCGACGATCAGTCTTCGTTAGTACTTGGAACTCGACAGACTTTTTATAAAAAAAAAAGTGGTCAAGTCAGAGGTATGGAACCAAAGTATCGCTGGTTTATTGAGAATACTGACAAGAATGGACCTTGGATGGAAACCCTAGAAGAAGCCAGGGAGGATTACCATAAAACCCATTCAGAGGAATCTAATCAAAAACCATGGACTTATTGGGAATACTGTAAACAAATGTGGGGCTTGGATATGATGTCTCCGGAACAATATAAAGAAAAAGTTGAAGAAACTTAACAAAAAGTATGGTTGGAAAAAAGAGTAAAATTTCCTGAAAATTATGTCGTGATAAGGAAGCACTGCTCTTTTGAGGGAATGAAGGATTATCATCTCTACAAATGGGAGATCACACCTGAGGATGATTATGATGATTTTCTGATTGGAACTGAATACTTTACCTCCGAGTTAGAATCGTGTATTGAACATTTACTCCAGACCACGAGAGAAGGAAAAACCCTTAAAAGGACCCAAATGTACTTATACAGAGTATCTCCATGGAATAATTCCTTATTTTCCAAATGAAAAAGGTATCCCTTGGAGGACACGAGACTATGGTAATGATGATGATGATGATTTGGACTTTGATGATGATTCGGCCTGGATGATTAATTTGGATGGTATTTTAGATTAAAAGACCGATAAGGCACACAAGAAAAAGAAAATGTAATTGGTTGTATTTTCATTCTGAATAAAATTGCTGTTTTCTTTTGTTTTGTCCTTGTGTGTTATTTGTTATTGTTTTGAGGAAATCCAGTTTGAACCGGCTGGCTGGCTAGATCGTCTAGACTGTGAAGCGTGACGTCATAATCAAGGATTTGAATCGCTGCCAAAATCGTAGTAGCAGCGTAGTGTATAATGTAAACATAGTGTAAACACACCCCGTATTTAGGAGGCTATATGTTTTGAATTGACCCGGCTATCCCCCACAGACCCCCCTAATCTGCACTCCCTTGACCCCCCTATCCCCCACAGGGGCTGCACTCAGTTGAACCCCCTATCTCCCCCAGGGGCTGCACTCCGTTGAACCCCCTATCCCCCCCCCAGCCCCAAAAGTGCACTCAGTTGAACCCCCCATCCAGACGCCTTATACTACTTACATTTTTTTCTCATTTGTTATGTAAAAGAACTGCAATTTGAATTCCATAAATTTTCCTGTGGATTGTATAAAATTAATGTATATTCTATATTTCGCATTTGTCTTTGAAGAAATTATTTGTTTCGTATAATGTTGTATTTGTGTTATAGTTTTTTTTTTTCATTTACACATTTTAATTTTTTATCTTTCTTATTTGTATTGTTAATTTAATTGTATGTAAGAATTTTTTGCTTGAATGCTTGAGTATATTATATCAGAAGAATTATTTATTTATTTCGTTATGAAGCATTTCATTAGTCAAGTTTTTATCTTTTTTGTAGTATAAGATCAACTTTAAAAAAATTGTTTTGTTGTCCTCTCCCGACCGACGAACAAAAATGGCCTGAGTAGAATTTTTTAAATTTCGTAACACAAAGTTTTTTTTTCCTTTTTATTCCTCTATTCCGTCAACAAAAATGTTAAAATTTTCAAGAAAAAAGATTTTTCCAACCTGCCTTCCGACCCAATAATTTTACTCTGTGACACTAACTGACATAATAATTTATTTAAAAATTATTGGTTATTAAACAAATATAACAAAAATAGGAAGAAATCGATAATCAGTCTGTCGAAAAGCTCGTTGTGATTTATACCTTTAAAGTAAAAGAAAAGCAATTTACTATAAGTACCATACTCTTGTAGTTATACTTAATAAATTGCAATTTAAAATATATAATTTATCTTTTTAAATGCACTACATACTAGTACATGTACCTGAAACTTATTATAACTAAAACCTATGACTTTAAATGAAGAATTAGACCTTGCAACATTCTTAGGAAATGTCAGTCATGATTATATCACGTGATGCATTCAATTTCTAAGAAATCACGCCTCTTTTAGAATATAAACCAACAACTAGAAACAACCAACAGATTTTGGAATGGCTTGTGAATTGCCCTCTTGATCAGAATGAAGGAAGCAAAATTTATTATATTTTTCTCGATTTCTCTGATCTTTGGATACGTTCTTTCAAAAGTGAATGATCAAAATGAAAATGAATTGCTTCGCAGTCCCACTTCTGGAAAAACATCCCAAATTTTACAAGAGATTCTCAAACAAGAATCTTATCTGCGTTTTTCTATAGTGCAAAAGATCCAAAATTTGGTCATGAATGCGATAGATAATAATAACATTACTAAAAGGTTAACGGAGAAGCTTGATTCTTTAGGAAACAAAGTTACCTCTATTCAATCTATTCAATCAGAGAACCGAAAATTAGAAGACACATTGGATGAAGCATTGGATGATTTCCAAGAGGGCCAGAATGCCACAACCGTACAGTTACAGAGGATACCTTCTCTTCATCATTCAAGTGAGAAAATAATTGTTCACCTTCTTACAAGAAGTAAGAAGAAAATGATAACTACACTGCGACATTTAAGTTCGGACATGACAAAGTCTGGACATTTAGGTTTCCTTTCATTTAAAAAAAAAATAGATAGGATTTTTTATCATCACCTCATCAAGTCAATCTTAACTTTCACAATGTTGTAATTTTCTTCAAAACTTTTCCAAAAACTCAAATTCTCATGGGAGAAAGCTTTTTTTTTTTTTTTTTTTTTTTTGGGGGGGGGGGGGTTAATCCCATGTGAAATCCAACCAAAGTCCTATTGAATAAATAATAATTTGTCTTCTTAAAGAAAAATCCCTCGGTTATTGCAAAATGGCATAGTTTTTCCGACAGGACTTAAAACTAGGATTAAATATCCCATGTCTTGGCACAATAAAGGAAAAATAATCCTGTAGTAACATTTTAAACGAGTCATTTGTTCAAATATATTAAACTAATACAATGATGTACCACGATACTCGAATGGTATTTTAATTCCAATTTCCTCCCAAATCCGATTCACAATACAAGTGAAGTTATATATTATGCTAGAGAAAGAGGTATAAAATCCTTATTACATTATACATGTATAAGATGGATCAAATTCAAAGTTACTATGCCATAACCATACTGACATTTTATACCTAATATTTTCATTTTGAATTTTGTCTTCTGATCTTGTGACCCCCCAAAATATAGTGGTCATTTACTCACCAGGAGATACCATGATACCAAGTCTGCCAATTAAGTAAGGTATTGAGCAAAATAATATTCCATTGTCCAGTTTGACACTTGATCTTTAAAACTGTGACTTAAAATTTGCAAAAGTCATTTGCTTCTTTATATTAACAAGTGTACACAATTTGATGTCTTTCAGGCTTCCGAATATTTTCACTGTTTAATGCATTTTAAGTCCAGTTTGACCCTTGACCTTTTGACTTTGGAACCGCAATATCCATAATTGACATTTATTCATCTAACGAAGATAAGTTATCATGTTCCTTATGTTATATGAAATATTCACGGTAAGTGGTCTCTCAGGAAAACTATAAAAATATATTTTATACCATATATAACTAAATATTTACATTTGCAAATGTTTTCCTTTATATAACATTACTGAAAGGAATGCGTATCTATAACTGTATAAATACAGGTATGGGGTCAAGAGGTCATAGATGTGCGTGTAGATAATCGTTTGACGTTATTTCTCAGTGACGTCATAAAGGGTCAACGCGCGTTCAGTGGATTACATACTTGCCGTTGAGTTTGAAAAATAATGCATTTCACACGCTAAAAGTCACAATTAGGCAAATATGAAGTATTAATAAGTCACAAATGTAAATATAAGTAACAAGGTATCATTTTTAAACATCTATCGGGCTATAAACGGGTTGGTACGAGATTAAATTCATCATAGAGCCCTTCGGGCTTTATGGAATTTAACCTCGTGACCAACCCGTATTTATATCCCGATAGATGTTTAAAAATGATACCTTATTTCTTAAATACATGTACAGTAAAACTCTGTTATAAAGAACCCGTGAAGAAGGAAATCACGAAACCAAGTACATGTAATATTTTACGAATTCCATGGAATATAAATAAATTCAATCTTGATTCTCTTGGTCCTAGCTAACCGAGTTTTACTGTTATAGAATGGTGCCTTATTTTAACGGAATGTTTTATTTCCAGACAAAAACGATGATTCTGTCATTAGTTTCAATATTAATTTTGTTTGGTTGTAATTTCTTACCTATTTTTTCATCAATCCAAAATTATATTAAGTATTTATAACTTCTTACAATGATAATCACCATTCGATAAAATCACCATTTTATATATAGGTTTTGAATATTAATTAAGCCTTTTTCTAGCATTAAAGGACAAGTACAAAAAAAATGTCGTCTTATTATACACTAGCTCTAGAGAGAATCATATTATTAAACATTTAGGATCGACGTTTAAGACATAGTGTTTACCTCGGCGTTCAAAATTTAAGAATCAATTGAGTTTCAAATTTATAATTTATAAAATTAGTATCAGTTCAATATTACAAAAATTAGGATCCTTAAAATTCGTTATAAAACCTCAATTTTGTTATATTTTACTGCTAGGGGACACAAATTCGGTTAGTTATAGCCCTAAATTCGTTATATCCAAGTTCGTTTTATCCATAAAACTTTACAAGGAATTGTTAAATACATGTACGCCGGAGAAAAACCTTCGCTATATCAATAAATTCGGTATATACGTGTTCATACTAAACGAGTTTTTTCTCAATTTTTCTGGAAGTTAAAAATGTAATGTAAAGTGGATATCTTCTTTAGTATAAATAGAACTTTAAACTTCAAATTTTATCTTTTATAGCTTTCGTTTTGGGTAATTTAAGAAACGAAAGAACTTTAATATTTTCATATATATGTTTTGCTCATTCCTTGAAATCAGAATCATTCTGAGGTTTGTTCATATTTCTTTTCCTGTCCTGACAAACTTCATTCTGATTTAAGGCATTCAGTGATAGAAAACATGCAACACTTTTTCCAGTTATCTTCACGATTTTATGTTTGCAGCTTGTGAACATGACTGGATTCAGCTGGCAAACAGCTGTTATCTGTTTTCAAGTGAAAGTGCAAATTTTAGTGATGCTATGGTAAGTTACAAATGTAACAGTGAAGTTTGTATATTAAAATGAATGACTACATCGTATTTGGCTAATTTTGCTATTAATAATTAATGTATTCGTATAACAATGTATAAGGTTTTAAAACATGATATTGTACTTGATCATTATATGTTTTATAACTTATACTTTAAGATTGTTTTAATTCAATTGACAAACTGAAAATATTGAAAAAAAACAAGTATTTCAATTGTATTTAAGAGCCTAAGGACCTGTGATATATTTTTTTGTTTCAAGAAATGGTGTTCCAGTGTAAAATCCGGTGCAACATTCTAGAGATTCGGACTCCCGAAGAAGAAAAGTGGATTGATTTCTACTTAAAGATTAAAGGTATTTTTACATTCAGAAAGATCGCCATTTTCCCCTAAAAATCTGGAAGCATTTCAAGGCAGAAATTTTCAACCGGGCGGTAAATTCCAGTAAAAGAGGGGTTGATTTTGTACAGGCCTTAAGGGCAAGCACACAGGCACTTGTCTCGGCAATACATTTTTAACCCATTGTTTGAAATATATGGAGATAATGAAAGTATTTAAGCTCAAAAGTCCAAAAACAATCACAAGTAGGAGCAGAGCAACCACAGAACTCCAAAACACCAGAGGTGGGATAAGATGCCATGGAGAAGTGAGCATCCCCTTCGAATTCCTATCGGACACCCCCGCCGTTTGCTCCTTGTTATGATCGGAAAATAAAGGGAAAATCCTTCTACAATTCTATGTGTACAATTAGATATGTTTTAAACAAAATAATTTTTCAATTGACCATTGACAAGTAAAGTAAATTTTCAAATTCCATTCTTATTGAAAAATTTTATTACTGTAGATTCCTTATTTTTCTTTAATACTTATTATCGCGAAGGAGCTCTTCAACGTCAAATCGCAAAAATAAAATAATAAAACTTCGCGAATGGACGAATGACCAAGAAATTTTACATAGATTTCAGCACCATAAAAATAAAAACGACTAATTCTATTTTGCGAGTGGTACTTCACGCGAAATTACGTGATATTGTATTCTATGCATATATTTAGGAATCTACAGTACATGTACTACACACCTTGCTGCTCTAAACTTAATTAAAAACATGACATTTCTACTTTAATGTTTAGCATATTAAATAAATATGCAAATGTACTTAGTAGAAAAAAGCAATTATACACCAAAGTTAACCTTTGATACACGGAGAATATTTTAATTCTTTCAAACACTAAAGGTATATTTTATAACTTATACGAGGGTTGTTCGAAAAGTACATGGACGATGTCAATCTGCGTTCTATTACGCATTAGAAATTCAAAATGAGCACAATATAATATGCAAAGAACTTTGTTTTGTTGGTTTGTAGATTTTCGTTCCTTTTGATTTAACAGAAATCAATTTACTTCATTTTGATATCAACATGTTTTGTTCCCGCGGAGCACACTTAACAGCAATGTAACTTAAATAGATAACGTCACGAATTTCTAAAATATTTCTAAAATATACAGTACCATCCTTATGTATTTCACACAGTATAACCCAATCCTTCTTCTAATACTAGACATTTATTTTTAAGAATTGCTTTTGTTGTATAATTTCCTTTGTTATGATGTTAATTTCTTTATTATGTAACCTTGTTTTTCCAGAGTAAGTAGCTCTGAAATGCCTATGTCTTTTCTTTGACGTTCCAATTTTTTAAAGTTTTCGTTAAGATTTTAACAGTTAAACTGTTTCTTAGTTTTGAATAAATCGTGGTATTTTAAAAAACAAGAGGCCCATGGGCCACATCGCTCACCTGAGCACTGCGGCGAGGAAAAAGTAGAAATTGGTTTATTTTTGAAAAGTTTAAATCCAAAAGTAGTCCCATGACCAATCATGGCTTTGCTATTCTTGAGAAGAATTTTTTTTTTAATTTTCCTATATATTTCTATGCAAAAAATTTGGTTGGCCGTTGTGGCCACGCCCTACCCCCCAAGGTCATGATTTGAACAAACTTGAATCTAAACTACCTTAGGATGCTTCCATATAAATATGATCAATTATGGCTTTGCAATTTTTGAGAAGAAGATTTAAAAAAAAAATTCTATATATTTTATGTAAAACTTTGGCTGGCCATTTTTGCCCCGCCCTACCCCCGAGGGTCATGATTTGAAGAAACTTGAATCTACACTACCTGAGGATGCTTCCTTATAAATATGGTCAATTATGGCTTTACAATTCTTGAGAAGATTTTTAAAGAATTTTCCTATATATTTTATGTAAAACTTTGGTCGTCCACTGTGGCCCCGCCCTACCCCCTGGGGTCATGTTCTGAACAAATATGAATCTATACAACCTGAGGAAACTTCCATATAAGTTTCATCTTTCCTAGCCAAGTTGTTCTTGAGAAGAAAATCTAAAAAAAAAAAATCCTATATCTTTCTTTGTAAAACTTTGATCGGCCATTGTGGCCCCGCCCTACCCCCGGGGGTCATGATTTGAACAAACTTGAATCTACACTACCTGAGGATGTTTTCATTTCAGTTTCAGCTTTCCTGGCACAGTGGTTCTTGAGAAGAAGATTTTTAAAGAATTTTCCTATATATTTCTATGTAAAACTTTGGTCGGCCATTGTGGCCTCGCCCTACACCCGGAGTCATGATTTGAACAAATTTGAATTTACACTACCTGAGGATGCTTCCATATAAGTTTCAGCTTTTCTGGCACAGTGGTTCTTGAGAAGAAGATTTTTAAAGAATTTTCCTATATATTTCTATGCAAAAATTTGGTCGGCCATTGTGACCCCGCCCTACCCCCCGGGGTCCTGATTTGAACAAACTTTAATCTACACTACCTGAGGATGCTTCCATTTCAGTTTCAGCTTTCCTGGCACAGTGGTTCTTGAGAAGAAAATTTTTAAAGAATTTTCCTATATATTTCTATGTAAAACTTTGGTCGGCCATTGTGACCCCGCCCTACCCCTGGTGGTCATTATTTGATCAAATTTGAATTTACACGACCTGAGGATGCTTCCATATAAGTTTCAGCTTTCCTGGCATAGTGGTTCTTGAGGAGAAGATTTTTCAAACATGCCACAATTTTTTTATTGATTCCGAATTATCTCCCCTTGAATGAAGGTGTGGCCATTCATTTGAACAAAATTGAATGCCCTTTACCCAAGGATGCTTTGTGACAAGTTCGGTTGAAATTGGCCCATCGGTTCTTGAGGAGCAGTCGAAAATGTGAAAAGTTTACAGACAGATGGACGGACAGACGGACTACAGACAAAATGTGATCAGAAAAGCTCACTTGAGCCTTCGGCTCAGGTGAGCTAAAAAATTATTATAAATCCTTTGGATTTATTGTTAAAATATTTCTACCAAATTTCGATAATATATGACGTCAAATAAAAAAGAAATGACATTAATCCACGAGTTTTTCGAACAACTTTCGTATATATTCAGCTAAAAAATTTAACAGTAATACAGCCTCTGAATACTGTGCATTGTAAATATCAAAGGATCAAAAGTAAATTCCAAGATCGTCATGGGTGCACTGCATGACGGACAGGATATACTTAGAGACTAGTAAGTAAAGTCAATCAAATCCATTCATCCAATGATGGACCTAGATGCACTCGGTTGACAAGGGTACACAAACAGGGTACTTTTGAAGGAGGTGCTTAAGATTTCTGCCATTGATTGTGTAAATATCTCATTGCAATATTTTTTATAGGTATTCGAAACATTTGGATTGGATTGACGGTTGTAGTAAAGGAAAACGAATTTGTCTATGAATCTGATGGACAGAAACCCAACTATACAAACTGGAGGATTGGTGAACCCAACAATGTAAAAGGTTCTGAGCATTGTACAGAAAAGGAGAGGAGTTCTGGTTGGAATGACATTAACTGTAACAGAAAATTTAGATTTCTCTGTAAGACCGACTGAAACAAAAAGGAATTTCCACTTAACCTGATTTGTATACTCAGTTTGGAAATATAGAGTGTATTTCAAAGATCAGAATAATAAACTGTAAATTATTAATGTTCCAAACATAACTTGAAGTTACTCTCATTTAACTACTACGACTTTTAGTTCCCTACTTTTTTTCAACACAATTTTTTCACTAAATGTTTGATTTTAAGTCAGATAAGTTAAAGTCGTTGTTCTATATACTCACGTATACCTTCCAATTATTATGCACTTTTCTAAATCATAATAACACAATATATGTTCCAAACACAACTTGAAGTTATACTCTCATTTATTTAACTATTACAACTTTCAGTTCAATACTATTTTCAAAACAATTTTTCCACTAAATATTGATTTTAAGTCAGTTAAGTTAAAGTCGTTGTACTATATACTCACGTATCCTTTCCAATTTTTATATACTTTTCTAAATCATTATAACACAATATATATACTTCTGAACGTGAATTCCATCTGTGAAGTGTGCTGGATCATATATTAAAAGTTTACCATATT